ATTTAGCATTTAAAACACCTCCAGGAAAGCATTTTTTGTTTCTTTTCCTTCTTCTCCCAGGTCGAGATGGCCGTGGAGGCTTGCGTTGTACAGCTCCTGGTCACTGGATTCGTCCATGCAGACCCTCACGAGGGGAATCTCAGGCGAAGCGGGAGCGTAGTTAGATGGTGAAGACGTGGGTCCGGTTCGGACGATTTTTCTCGATGGAAACTGCAGAAGCAAATTAACAGGTGGGGTGCATTCAGATGTGCTGAGCGTATTACTTTGTTTTGGGGCGAGGCCGAAATGCTTGGTCAAATCCCGGAAGAAAGAGCTACTGTATGTCTCATCAACTTGCCAAGCTCAAAGCCGATTTCCATAGATGTCCTGATATCAATGAAGATACTGCATGTCATGTATATATCAAGTCAAGATCGTTCTTCCTCCGGTCCGAGGCTGGTTCCCGATTCGGTCACAGGTTAGGCGACGACGGGCGCGTGGTCTTCCTGGATTTCGGCCTCATGGATCGGGTGGACTTTGGACTGATGGAGAGCTGCGCTGCCGGCGTGCGCCAGGTGGAACCAATTGGGGTTCACAGAGCTGTGGTGGAAGCATGTGGAAGCTGCAGATCCACTCGAAACGCGAGGTAAGATTTTTAAGTTTTAAAGCATTTTAAACGTCGAAGGTGGATGCCGTTCTCTTGAGGGCCTGCGTGCGGAGCTTTCGTTGCATGAATGCTGAACCACTCTAGCGGCTCTAGCGTGTGTGAGGGGGGCAGGTAGTTGAGGGCTGAAGGATGGAAGGGTATTCCACAAATAGTGTCACATCAGCTGGACGTATGGCTGCTGGATTCAAGCCACACCGAATCCACCAGCCCAGCGCCAGGTGCTGAACAAAGATTGGCTTGATCTCACGCACACCTTCCAGGCAGTTCGATTCACTCCGAAACCCATGATGAAAAACATGGACTACGGCATCGCTGATACACCCAGGTGGGGCCAAAAGCAAGATGTTGCAAACAAGTGCTTATTCCATTGACAAAATAGGGCCCAATCTTGTCAGAGCAACGCATATTCAGGTTGAAGAGCATGAGAGAAGCATGAGGCTTTTCCACCAGTCCCCTGCAAAACCACCCTCCACCCATCCTCCAAGGTATGAGGAGTGTGGTAACGAGGAGTTCGCTGAGGCCTTTGCGGTTCAGCTGCAGCGCGAGGCCGACGGCCAGAGTCGCTTCGGAGCCATGGCAGTGGCGCTGAAGAAGCTCTCAGACCGCCCCCTGAGCGCAAGCGGGGAGATGCGTTCTCCTGTGTTTTTTGGGCGGGTGACCGGTGGGTGGCAGTTTGTCAATTGGTGCCGCAAACCTAGCAGAGTGTTTGGCCTTTCCCGAAGCCCAGGCTACTTGATGCTGACTCCGCCCTTCATCGCTTTGCTTTGCCGCACCTTCATTACATTGGAAGGCCTGCTGGCCGACGATCCTAAAATGGCGGAGGCATACAACGTGTACCAGACGTCCCTGCCCTTTGCCATTTGCCGGTTTTTGTCTCCTCGCACTCGCAGAGGTGGCCGAGACTTGAGGACGGCCAAGGCAAAGCGCAGATACGCGTGTTGCAACGTCAGCTACGCAGCTACTCGTCCTTGACATTGTTGTAGGAACATTGGTCCAAAACTGGGGGACATCAGCCATCCCTTGCTAGGAGCTCCTTCTTGAAGGAGGGCAGCTCTCAAGTCAACTGGGGCAGCTTGAGCGCCCTCCTCACTGCTGGTGATGGCTCGGCCGAAACTGCCTCCGAGGCGGCTGAAAACAAGAAGCAACATATGGATTATTAGAGCTTCCGAGCAACTTTGCCACGGACCAACCCATCCTTGCATCACGGTGGACAATTTCGTGGACAGATTGGCACATGAATCAATTGAACCATTGGGCATTGGAAGGGCCAAACTCATTTGTTGCATGGCACCAGGCAGACTCGATTCATTTCAGATCTTTACCTACTACAAGCCTACTAATTAAAGGAACAGCGCCTAGTTTGCTGGTCCAACAGCCTCCACTCTTCCTGCTCACCACCAACCCAGCAACACATAGTTTTGGCTCTTTACGGCAATGTCGACCTTCTTTTTCCCAAGCATACTTGTATATTATATAGACGTTCTTTTCAGGGGTTCTTGGGGCAGGGCTGGTTCAAACCGACCAACCCGGGCCTTGTTCCATCCGTTTGCGAGGCTCTCACGGGCGTGGACCTGGGCACGGCAGAGGCTGTGCGGCGGCGCCTGTTGCTGACGGCAGAGGGCGCAGCTTTGCGGCGGCTGTGCCATGAGGTGGACGTATTTGAGGCCAGCGAGCTGCAGATGGAGGGCCACTAGTCACATCCACTGTCATTTCTTGGGGGTCCAAGTCATCTCCATCCAGAACAAGTTGGAGGCCGTTTTTGGTCCCGTTGTTATGGGGCAGGTCGCTCAATTGAGAGCAGGGTGATCGTCTTTTCGAGCCCAAAACCAACAAAGCGAATTCGACTGAGATGGGTCCTTTTACGGTCCTGTGGGATGTGAGAAAGAGCCCCCGCTGGCTGAGCTCACATCTTCAAACCCAAGACTCCTGAGACAGTAATGTTGACTGTTGATGAATAACCCCCAAGATGGAGATGGTTGATGATGTTTGACCATCTAGAATCTAGGTCCTAGGTAGGGGGTTTCTGGGTTTATAGGGGTCGTTTTATTCGATTTGATTCATCAACTGTCACCTTTTCTTCCCTGCCACATTCACCACTGGCCTCTCAGCACCAGGCTTGCCGCGGGTTCCTCACCTCCAAGGAGGCCGCGCCTCTTCGAGAAGCCGTCATCAGTGGCACTGGCTGGATTAAGAGGGCAAAGCAACAGTAAACTTAACACCATATTAAACAATTTGGTTATCAGATGCTCATGTAATCTCATGTATATAGTTTTTTTTTGGTGAGGCAATGTTAGATGCCCTGGTCTTTCAGCAGAGTTGAATTGGAGGAATCTTTATGTGGAACCTACATCGTTTGAAGACAATATTTGTGGCCGCCGAAGCCTCGCACTTATTTACGACCTCTTTCCTGAGGCTCCCTGGCAGAGTCTTGGGCATCCAGGCACAAGCCAGGCCGGAAAGATCAAAAGGAACTGCCGGTTGCAGGCCGATACAGTATGACGTAGCTCCTGCAGAGGGCCCATCGAACTCGAAAGCCTTTCAGCACCCCTAGCAAGGAGGAATGATGGGTAGGAGCTAGTAGATCGAACATGTTTTTCTGAGAGTTTGGACGAGTGCCAAATCAGTTGCTTTTGTTTTCCAACTGTGGCTCGTGAGTTTTGGGCGGCATCTTGTAGGGTTTCCAGTCCAGTGGCCCTACCTCACGAGTTTTAGAAAACAGCTCTTAGATGTTACATTCAACAGTTATTAGCAGCACATCCACATCCACACACTTTCGCTCTTGAGAGTCAATCAGAGTCAGTATGTTCAGTATATTCACTTGGATTTTGTTCTTCCAAGATCGGATCTTGGTGGGTTCTGGGTTCTCGTCTTTCGCTATTTTTCTCTTCAACACCCGATGGCAGGCATTACCAGTAGCCTGGGCCCCCGCGCGGCTGCAGCCTCCAGGTGGGCTGTAGCATCGAACTTGGCTGGAGGGGCCTGTGCGATTGATGCTGCTTTGTGAAAATGGTCCAGCCACTACCTGAGAGTTGTGTGATTTCGTATGATTTCGTGCTTTATTTCTTTCGCTGTTCGCTTGGCTTTTTCCCCGTGGCAGGGGCTGGGGTGAGTGGAAAGCCCAAGAGCCCGTGCATTTGCCTGCCTCAATGAAGCGACATGCTCGCATGGCCTGGCGCATCATCACCAGGCCCGGAGCGCGGCCGGAGTGCAGCCGACGAACAAGGGTGGCCGATGGTCGTAACGAGGAGAGGTTGATGGGAATCGGCGTAAAGGCATCTCTTCGAGCTACATCATATGAGCATTCTTAGACTTTTGTGGGTTTGTCAACTCCGCCATGAATGCACGCCGGCACAGATGATTTTTCCTCTGGGGTTGGCGTCCCATCACATATGACTCATGGAAGTGGAGCGTGGTCATACCAGCTGACTGTACCATGTTTAGCCTCTAGCTGCAAGTTGGCTAGTATATTGTGAGAAAGATGGTCATCAGTCATACCATTTGAACCAGGTGGGTTGCTCGAGACATACCCTGAAGACATGCCCCAGAGACGATGATGTGCCTTCAGCGGGTCAGGGGGCAAATGCGGCGTTCCCTTTGGCCGCTGTGGCGGCTGCCCTTGCGGGTCGTGCTGCTCTTGGTGCAGGCTGGCAATGAAGACGCATGGACATGCACCACAGCCGTGCCACATCTTCAAAGAATGCAGCTAGGGCATGTAACTCGTTCAAGCTACGCCACGCCTTGGAAAGATTGAGCTCTATGCAGCACAAGATTTGGGCCTGATACTTCCTTGGATCAAACTGTGTGTTTCTCACTGGTCTTGGCTTGAAGACGAGGCATCACGGTTTTTCAGACAATACCCAGACTTTCTGAGTCGCAGGTCTGCCCCGCCACAGCGCTCCTCCTCCTCCGCGCTCGGAAGCGAGCGCGTGCTCGCCGGCGGAAGCTCCACTGAAGACCCGGAGGTAGGAGGTCGCAAGTCGCAAGCACTATGAAATACATTGAAATACTGAGCATGGTCCTTGGCAATTGCAAAAACCCTCTTCAACCACCGCGAGCCGGAAGTAGTTCAAAAAAGAGGAACATGTAAATAAACTATGTGTGTACATATAGATATATTCTATATATATATATTATATATATATCTATCTATCTATCTATCTATATCCATATCTATCTATAACAATTATGCCGGTCACATCGGTCATGGCATTCTCCGCGGCTGCCACTTGTGAACTGGACCATTGGGAAACTTGGTGGGAGCATTGCTGTGTCGTGCAGGCCAACCTGCACTGAAGCTCCAACGTTTTATGCAGCTATGCAGTGGCATTAAGCTCCTTGAGATTCCCAAAGCGGAATGCTGAAGCTGAGCTGATATAGACATGTGACATACGATTCTTTTTCCAATCAGATTGCTTAGAAGTATCTCCTCTCCCGGAATCCATTGAGGTGCGCCGTTGGATTTCACCTATGCAGAACCTGCGCGACTAAAAAGAAACCATGGCTGCTCCGGCATGGGGATCATCAGGTTGGTTTTCCTCCACACTGCGAGGGTTGTGCTGCTAGAGTGGTTGTGTCATGTTGTGTCTTTATGAACTTGATCTATGGCAGCTTTTGCTCAAGATCTACCTTTCATTGCAGGCCCTTTCTGGCAGCCATGAGAATATGGCTGCTCTGTGTGTATTTCACCAGCTGCCTGGCTCACCTCGACCCTAAAGAGATGTTATATATATATATATAAGTCTGCTTGGTTCGGACTTGGCAGGGAAGGCATTGTGCCAACAATTAGCTTCATGACATTTTCTCATTTCTTCATGCCACTAGCTAGCTTCCAAAGGGTCCTGAAAGAAAGAGTATGACGCAACCAAAGAAGCAACAGCAAACGAACAGGAATCCTGCATTTGCGCTCCTATCAGACCTATCTTCCTCACCCTAGGCTTTGCTTGGGCTGCCAACCTGCAGAAGTGCAGTGGCACGGGCCCTCTTCGGAGCTCCGTGCCTGTGTGTCCTGGCCCTCAGATCGGTGGCATGGAGTGGCACGATGTGGCGACACGTTCGGTCTGTGGCAACGACTCTTCCCCGAGCAGGATACCCACCTACCATTCCAGACGCTAAGGTCTGACAACCAATGATATAGTTGCTCGGATAGATCATAGCTTGATGATCCAATGAAATGATCTTGGCCCAATGATCTTGCATCTCTGCACGATTGCAGCTCCCTCACCTGACGTGATCTCGGTCTCGAACCCCTGTCCCGTGCGTGTCGTTCCGTCCGCCATCGGATCTGCCCCGACAGGCTACTTTGGCGAGACGTCCGGGGAGGCGGTGCTGGTCTCCTGGCGGCGGTTGGACTTCTCTGAAACATTCTTGGCTTGTTGGATAGAGTTGAGAGGTTCTTCACATTCGCGGTTTGGGATGTGAACACCTGAAGCTTTCAAGATTGTCATTCATGTGGTTCTTGGGTTAGGTCAAAATCCTCAGCTTCGACTCACTGGAGCACGCTGGGCAGATGGAGCTTCGGGCCGCTGGGGCGTCGAAGGTGAGGAACGCGCCGAACGCAGGTCGTCGTGAGTGCGTTGAGGCCGTTTTTGGCAGTAAGAAATTGAGGAAGCCAGCAGTCAGAAATCTGGTGCCATCATTTTCTGGAGTTTGCTTGGCATGGAACATTGCTTCCACAAGCCCAGTTCTGCGCCCGGCGATTTGGGGCATACGTGCCAGTGCGACGTTCCCGCAGCACTAGCGGGAATCCCCTTCTTGGCGAGGTGGCTTGTGAGAGCACCTTCACTCAGGAGGGCCAAGCCATCCAGGCACGTGGAGAGCACTTTGTGGTCTTGATGTTGGTGCTTCGGAGGTCACACGGGCCGTGTGCGTTCCACCGACATGGGAATTTCCACCGTAAATGCCACAGCGTTTGGTGGTCGCAGAGCATGTTTGAAGGCTTGGGCACATGGTGCGCAGGGGTTGGTGATGCTCAAATGCACTGCAAAGGTCCGCCAGCTGTGCCTACCCAGCTCCGTGAGCGCGGTCAATGTGAGCTATTGTTCCGACCAGGTGCCAGCAATGTGGGGCATGCATGCTTGTGGTCGAAAGTGCATCGGTTTACGGGGGATCTCTCGCAATGAAGGAGATGGTGGACTTCACATGAACAATGCATTCCCTTAACGGCGGCAACCGACGCCGGTGCATTCAAAAAAATCTATGATGATCGATTCTGGTATGTCCTGAATCCAGTCTGGGCACGCATCTCCATGTTAACATATGTTTCTCGATTATTAGGAGCTGCTTTTTGGAGAGGATTCGTGGTAATTATATGTGATTGTATATATATATATATGCGCACACGATATATGTATGTATATTTGTATACACATGCAATACATTATGCAGCTAGCAAATGATGACCTGCCAGGAACCACGTATACAGTAAAACCCAGAACATGAACCGGAGGAATCGCAAGCCGCAAGCCCTCAGGATGCCCTGCGCTTGGATGCCTCGGTGGAGGGGGACCTGGTGGAGATGAGCCTTCGGCTTTTGCCCAACTGCCAGCAGCTTGGTGAAAAGGACAAGGTGGAAGTGGACAGCCGGACAGCGGGATAGCCATCCTTTCTCCGATTGTTTGTGCTGTATATGCACCTTTGTTGGTTAGTGCTTTGGAGGGCAATGTCGAGCAATCGTACAAACTAGAGGCAGCTGCTTGGAATCAGCGCTTCCAACACAACAGTTTTGTTCCTCAGTGGATGCTACTCACTGCTGCAAGAAAGCCTCGAGCTGTGTCACAAGTAGGATGCCTCGGGCCTCAACACAGGTGAGCGGAGGTGTTCAACTTACACAATGCAAAGAGCAACTTGTGCATACACATGAGTGATGAGGCAGGTGAGGACAAATGCGTTTTCTTGGAGCTTGCATCAATTGGTCAACATAAACCTACCTCAGTACCTACCTCTGTGGCCTTCTTGAAGACCCACGGGTGATACTGTAAATTCACTCAACAGTCCATCAACCAAGGGGTGATCCACTGCACAGGCCCTTGATGAGACGATCTCCACCTGCCCGCTGAGGGTACCGAGAGTAGGAGCCAGCGCACGGAGACAGGGAGGCCGCTAGCTTGGAGGGCGCTAGAAGCACCAGCAAAAGGAAGTCTAAGAGACCGGTCTAAGATGTTCTGATGTGCAGGATTCCCTGACTCCTGATGACTGACTGACATGATGTGGAACCTATCAGCAGGGCAAAGGGCATTGACATTGACGAAGGTTTCCAAGTTCCCGGTTTGACTCCCTTTAAGCCACTGGATCTTAACAGGAAGCCTGGGCATGGCATTGACTCAAGTACTGTAGAATGATACACTGTAGAAAGATGAAGATGGCCCGCACATTTTGCCAGCGAAAGCAGCGAAACATGTCTGAGTTCTTCCATTGCTTGCCTCCATCGTCAGTATATAATTACAATAGCCTGTCACGTGACCTGTTGATGGAAGCCGAGCCTCTTTCACACTGCGGTGTTCAGCGTGCCATTCTGGCCACATCACTCCTTGTGATAGCATGGCTCTGGTAGAGAACAAAAGCAGCCACTTTGCACCTGACGGGTGTGGGCAGAGCATGGCAACAACCTCGCACATGAAATCTTTTTCTGCAAGACCTGGTGGTTTCTGGGTAGATGTTGCCTAGCCATGTTGCATTGTTAGGTAGAAGTGGTAGAGGCGAAGGCGAGGTTTCAACCGGGTGTGTTGGCAGAGCTGCAGCAATCGCTGCCAGCCAGGCACACTAGTGACTAGAGTGACTAGAGCGCGCGAGAGGAATCGTTGCTTCAAGAGTTGGTCTTTCGGGATGTCCAGATTATCTCGCCCCAGTTTGGTGGGTTCATGCACCCCTCGGGGAGTGCCCTTGGCTCAAGCATGAGGCAGAACACTTTAACTGTTTCGCACCGTTGCGCAATCCTGGGCGGGCTTTAGGTGATGATGACGATGATCCTCGGAGCGTAATGCCTGCTGCCCCCTACCATATCAAACATATTGTCATGAAACACATTCCTTTTTGGGGTACACGCAGGTTTGTGAGACAAGTTTTTGTGTGTAATACGCGGCTGGGAAGAGTGTCACCGTTCTGTGGTGGAGCATGGCTTGGGCTTGCATGAGCACAGGCATGTGACATCTCAGCAAATGTGTTCGACAAACTTGTCCAACATATCGTCCAATAGACCCAATAGATTTGCAACATCGTGCAAAACATATCAACACAAGGTACCGTCCTTTTCAACGCTGGTGTGTCAGAATTTCCTCGAATGCTATGTTGCATGTATGTGGAGCATGCAAATGAGGCACTGAGGCACTACATTTTTACCTTGCTTATGTATGCTTATGCCGCCGCTGAGATTCTAATGTGAAGATTTGTCCAAGCAATCCATGTAAATATATCTACATCAATGTAAATATTAAAGTCTCAAAGGAGTCATTGCCTAAGGGCAACACATCAAGTTGCGTGACTGATAGAATCAGGTGTTGTTGATATACCGTTGCTGGGGACCACCGGAGGTAGATCCCCCATCCCATCCCATCCCATCCCATGGTTCTTGCTGGGCATATTTCGAGTAGAACCCTCTCCTGTGAGCAGCGTAAGAGTAGGGTGGTTGGTTTTCAGTGGTGTTGCAGAAAGAAGTTGGTCGACCTCACCCAGGATTCTCTACGCCCTTTGCTACGGCCTGGTGTGGGTGGACGCTGAGCCGGCCCTTGCGGCATTCTAGGCGGCTTATTCTGCTTGTTAGGGCCCTGTTACTTGAGCCCGGATTGTGCCAAGAACCTGGGGCAAGCTTTCTGTCTCCATCCGTGCTTCCCTGCATTTCGGGGTCCGACCTCCCCGAGCTGCATCAACTCCTAAGCTCTTCACGATGCATCCAACCTAAGCGCGATGGCCTCCAACCTAAGAGCGGCCAACAAAACATACGTCGCGGCTACATCCAACCAGCCAGAGCCGTGATGGTTCGGGTGACCCGCGAACGGCGCTGGTGGTCCCATGCCGCCATGCGGCGGAGCCACCGTCAGCTGCGTTCCACGTGGCGCAGTGGCTTGGGGCGAGTTGGTGCCTCGGCCAATGGGTGCCGACCTGAGCCAAAACATGGAAGAAAAAGCTCCGTTTGTAGCGTCCTTTTGCTCCTAGTAGTAAGGCCAGGAGCCCCTAGTAGTGTCTTTGTTCCTAGTAGGGATGCCCTTTGTTCCTAGTAGCGTCCTCTGCCGTTTTCACTGGCTTGCCCGTTGGTTGGAACCCCAAAATCCATGAACTGAACAACCACACCCTTGAACTGTTCCTGGTTGGAACATGTTGGAACTCACGGTTGAACCCATCATGACTTTCATTTCAATTGGTCTCATCATGTTTTTGTATACCCGCCGGGTGTGGAATCGCACGTGTAGTCGTGCAAATTTGAATCAAACGTGCAAGCCCTCTCAGTACTTTTGCTTGTTCGATGATGTTTTTTGGGGGTCCCGGATCCTTTCATTTTTAAAGCCGAATCTGCCGAAACCCAAGCGCCAGCGCAAAATCCGTCGCCGTTTTTGTCCCGGGCTGTCCTCAACTTTCATGCGTCCTGTCTCAAGTAGACTTGCGCAGTTTTTTGCACAAGTTAGTACACGTGGTGTTTTCCCAACGCCACTGCCATCCGCGAATCACACGACTAATCGATGACAATGTTATGAAACCGATGACAATGCTATGAAACCGAAGATTTCTTGTCGTGAAATCGATGACAATGTTCTCAGCATGACATCCACATCCTCATTCCATCACAACGCCCCCCCCACCCCATTTTAATCACACGACTAATCGATGACAATGTTATGAAACCGATGACAATGCTATGAAACCGAAGATAATGTTATGAAACCGATGACAATGATATGAAGCCGAAGATTACTTGTCGTGAAAACGATGACAATGTTCTCAGCATGACATCCACATCCTCATTCCATCACCCCCCTCACCCCCCCCACCCAATTTTAATCACACGACTAATCGATGACAATGTTATGAAACCGATGACAATGCTATGAAGCCGAAGATAATGTTATGAAACCGATGACAATGCTATGAAACCGAAGATTACTTGTCGTGAAAACGATGACAATGTTCTCATCCCACCCCAACCCAACCCCCCCACCTTTCACGTAGCATCAACTTCAGATAGCAAGTGCAAACGAACGTCAATATGCCCCATCCCACCCCACCCCAACCCCCCCACCTTTCACGTAGCATCAACTTCAAAAATCGCAGTAGTCACACGTTCGGTTTTACACCCGTAGGCATGTTTTTGCTAGCGGAATTTTTGCCACCCAGAAAGACATTGCGATTTTTGACATGGACACTCGTTCACACTTGTGGAAATTGTCGAGTGCAACACGGATGTCAAAACAAGGATTCCCAAAGCACTTTCAAAAGCTCTGGCAATGCAGAAAACACCGCTTGCAACCAAAGGGTATTGGCCGGAAGTTTTCCGATGTCCGCAAACATTCCTATAACAACAGCAAGTACGGCACACTTTTTGACATGGACACTCGTTGACGCAAGTTACATGGACACTCATTGACCGTCAGAGCTGTAAATGGGTGGGGTGACACGAAGTGCAATGGGGTTCCCTTGGAAAGACACTGTCCCGAGAGCGGTCCACCGGACGAGCACGTTGGTTTGGATGTGCTTCGCGGATGATGTTACATGCACACACATGCATGATGGTTCGCCGTGCTACAAGGCATGAGCCGAGAAGTGCAACCTGCTTTTAGCGCCAGTGCCACCATGACAATTGTCGATTGTCTTCATGTGTCTGCATGTGTCAACTTGGACGTGCGTTCACCCCCGGTCATCGAGAAAACTAATATTCCGAAATGCACTCGAAGCACAGAAAACGAACGCACCCGAGGGGGCACCTTTTTAACGCGCCATGCTCCGGTCACAAGCCGGCCCCCAGGCCGCCGCCTGGCTCACCACCATCCCCTCGGAGCCTGGGACCACACTGCCGCCTCACTACATGCGCCGCGCCCTCAAGCGCCGACTCCGCTTGCCTCTGCCGTTGGCGCGTGCCCGCTGTGGAGGTGACGGCGCTCCCGGCTGTGGGGAGCCGCTGGACCGCTTGGGTGACCACTGCGCAGCTTGCCCCCGCAGCGGCGCTCTCGCCCGCCGCGCACATGTCTTGGAGCACGCGTGGGTGCGCATCGCCCGCGAGGCTGTGGGCGCCGAGGGCCGCGCCGTTCCGCAGCAGTGGCTTGCGCGCACCAACACCCCGCACATTTCCCCCGATGACCGCCGCCGACTCGACCTCGTCGTGCATGGCGCCTCGCCACATGGGGAAACGTGGTGCTGCGATGCCACCCTCGTCTTCGCCTTGACGCGCGGCGGTGCCCCCGTCCCTGGGGCCGCTGAGGCGGATGGTGTCGCGCTCCGCCTGGCCGAGCGGCGCAAGCGCCGCCGTTATCCAGAGCTTGCTGCCGGTGGTCCGCAGCAGCTCCTGGTCCTCGCCTGCGAGGTCGGCGGCCGCTGGAACACGGAGTCCTTGACCTTCGTGCGCCGCCTCGTCCGCCTTCGCGCCCGGCGCGCGCCTCCCGCGGTCCGCACCGCCGCCGCTGCCGGGTGGCGCCGCCGCTGGTGGGGCCTCCTTGGCGTCGCCGTCCAGCGCGCCTTGTGCCCCACGCTGCTTGGGGACGACTGGCGCGCGCCCCAGTGCCCCACCGGCTCCGCAGATCTCCCTCTCGGGGAGATCCTTGCGCTTGCCGGGGCCTCCGCGCCAAGCCGGCTCCCTTTGCGGCCATAGGCCAGCAAAGCCTGGCAGGACCTAGCACAGCCGATGCCCGTGCGGAGGGGAAAAAAAAGATAAATTCCGTAAGGGCTGCACCAAGCATAAAAACAACAACACTTTTTTGACCTCAGATGACTATCTCAGAAATCCGGTTCCGGTGCAGCGAAGCAGCCGAAACGAACAAAGCCGTGGGGTGGTAATGATTCTGTCCGGATGTTTTTGGTATTCTTTGTGCCCTTACATGCATAATTCCGTGTAGGAGCCGAACCTAAGCCTCTTTTCGTCGCAGAAGGCCTTTGCTTGTCAGCCGTCAAGCGGCTCAGAGGTGTTAAAGTAAAGAGGCGATAGAGAGTAAAGTGGCGTAAACAGACTTAAATGCAGGAGGTGAGGCATAGATCATAGACACGTGGAGGGATATACCTGTCCTCAAATTTTGTTTTGCCTCGAATGCGCTATGTACTCCTGCAAGTGCTTGAAAACTGCTAAGCGTGTTATTCAACTTGGAGGCAAACGGCAAACGGTGCATATAAGAGAGGGGCCAGAGGCATGGGTGGCTATATAATTGTGGTAAATAGACTTGCTTTGAGAATTGCTGTGGAGGTGTAATTACTTAAGAACTTAGGAAAATACAGACGGCTTTCAAGGAGGCTTCAATAGGTGTGGAACCCCTTGGGATGTTTGGCCGTGCTTAGACTCCCGCCCGTTTGAAACAGGTTTTCCAAGCGGAAAGTTCTCACCCGAGGCTTCGGTGATAGCTGACACCGATGCCTTTCCGACCTTTGTGGCGCGTGAGGGCTGTGGCTCTAGCCTGACGCTGCGGCAGCTGCAAAGTGGGATTTTCGGGATGGCCTTCCTTCTACAGCGTTCCTTGGAGAGCTGAGACTCTGAGAAAAGGCTGAGAGAGAGGAAGAGAGAGAGAGAGAGAGTAGCACCTAAAATCATTGCACATCATAGGCTCAACACGCGATGAAAAAGGAAGGCAAGGCGCCTTGAAGGGGTTCGGCCTCACACTCCAGTTTTTCATCTCGCTTTTGTACAGAACATATCACAAAATACCATGCCACACACAGACACGGGAGGATCTAGTCACAGTCTGTTTGTCGAATCCTTTGGAGAATGACGGGGGGCTCTTGGGGTGTCGGCCAACACTGACCTCGCGCAGCAGCACAGATGCTGTACCAGCCGTGGGGTGGTTGGTGGAGTGGCGAGTGGACCTGCCTCAGACGCATGACGATCCATTTGTCCATCAAAACAAGGGGCAATCACAAAGGACATGTGCCAAGAAACTAGTTCTTGGGATTTTAATGGATTTTGAGCTCAAATAGTCCTCCTGTTTCCGAGTGCTTGCGGGAAGAACGCTCCCTCAAAAAACATGATCTGCCTAATGCTGCCCGGCCGACACGAGGCTTCCGTGTGGCGCGGCTCCCGGAGCTCACGCAGCGGATCCGCGAGGCCTATGCGGTTGCGGTGGGCCACTGCTTTGGCTGGGCGCAGCGGGATGGAGTGCAAACACTCCAAACAGGAACGCCATTTTTTCTTTAAAGGGGGGGGTGGCACATGCGTATAAGCGTATAGCATCGTATAGCATCGTCTAGCCAGGAGAGAACGACATTGGACGGTGGTGAAGGTGTTTTGGCAAACAGTGCTGTCTAGGACTGGAGACACACTGGCACTGGAGGTCATCCAACCTCCTGAGAATTGCAGATGGATGGACAAAAAGGGCTGTGTGTTGGAGGTTGCTGCTGGCAGCCTCTGCAGTGCGCGAAAGAAGATTTATCACCGAATGGCCGCCCATCTGGTCACAAACATATTTCATCTCTGCAACTTTTGTGCTCGAGCTCAAGGGCGCAGACACGTGAAGCAGGGGTCGACATACATACAAGCAGACAACACTGAAGGCAAATTGTGACAGATCATAAGGATCCTTCAAGTGAGAGGTGTGCAAAGCTCCAAGCTGTCAACGAGTCAGTGGGCACAAGGTGTAGTTTGACAACGTCCAGAAGGAAAGGAGGGAGGTCTTGCGTCAAGTTTGGGTGTGCCCCGTCACGTCAGAGGCTATCCTCAGCCGCAGGATGGTCGAGGGTGCAGCGAGGTAGCTGTTAGCTGATGGTCTTTCACCTTTGCTGCCTCCCCGGTGAGGACAGCCTCAAACTGGGCCTATCTCAAGCCATCAGCTTCGTGCTTCCAAAACCAACTCTGAATGTCCAAGCTTCATTATCAAGCACTTGTACCTACTCTATGGAGGATGACCCCCGTTCAAGTTTGGGAGCTGACTTGGGAGCGAGCCCTTGAGTCTGCAATACGCTCCGCAACACAGTCCGCATGATGCTTTGGTCACTCCACTTTGTAGAATCGTGAATTTCTTTCGCCCTTGACCAATAATTATGAGCTAGTTCATTCAGTGGGCCCGATTTGGCATCATTCTCGCCCAGCAAAACTGCCTCCGCAGCTTCAGCAGCACCACCAAATTGTACATTCTGCCTACGTGTGCAACCTATGCGAGTGCAGGATAGTGAGGGCTTTTGGAATACCCTTTGCCTCGCGAGAAACCGAGGTCAGTCGGTTTGTTACCAAACCAAGCTCTTTTCATTGTTTGCTCGACCCCTCCGTAGGATGCCGGTGAACGCTCGGGGCCTCGGTGCGGAGTGGAGAGGCGTGCAAGCCAGGGTCTGAATAAACATTCTCCCACCTTGTTGGTAGCCGGACCCTCCACTCCTCCCCTACCACCCCTTTTTCGTTGAGAGATCTTCGCCACGCCCCCCAACTTCTCTGGACAGCCTAGCTGAGCGAAGATAGGTCCAGCCCTCATTGAGACCCAAAGCGCAGTGGAGACGGACGCTGTGGCCATCCCGGACCAGGCGAGGTTTGGGGCGTGGGTCGCGTCGCCTGCGCCGCTGGCCCAAAAGGAAACGCCACAACCTTGATCTTATAGTAACAAGAAGCTAGTAGGAGCAAAGGGCATCGCTACTACGAGCAAGGACGCTACTAGGGGCTCCTGGCGTTACTACTAGTAACAAGAAGCTATTAGAAACTAGAAGAGAAAGAAAGGCATTCGGAGCTGCAATTGAGATTTCGGAGGTCTGACCGATGCCAGTTGAAATGCAGCTGCAGTATGCAGCAGCACTTGGACCCCTACCCCGCATGTGTCTTGATGAGGTCAACGCGACGTAGCCATATCCTCACTCCAGGGTCTGCAGCTCTTTGCACTGTCTTATTCACAAGCTCGTGCCATCTTGTGCCTCAAAGTTCTGCCTCAAAGTCAAGGACCCAGATTCGGAAGTGGAGATTTATCTCCCAACTGAGCCACTTTTCACTCTTCACCTCCTTTTCATGCCACACAAGCGCCTCCTCACTGGGAGTTGACCAATGCGACCAATGCCTACTCCGATGAACGATCACCGCATGGCTTTGGCAAAGCCCTCCGACCCCCGCGGAACCCGCCAGACACGCCCCGAGCCGTGTGAAGCGCCATGGTCACCTCCTCGGAGCCGCTCATCGAGCATGACCCGAGCAGTTCCAACATGCATTGGCGAAAGGCCGAGACCGGGCGGATTTTCATAGGATGGGGTGGATGTGAGGAATGGCATATGGCACGCACACACACACACAATGTGAGTGATGAACCGCATATATGTGTATATGCTCACGCCCCCCCC